CCACCACCTCCTCCGCCACCACCAACTCCACCTTCACTTCCACCTCCACCACAACCACCACCACCAACTCCACTTCACCTCCACCACCACCACCACCACCACAACCACCACCTCCTTCAAAACTTCCACATCCACCACCACCTCCACCACCACCACCATGCTGCCACCTCCACCACCATGCTGTCACCACCACCACCTCCACAAGCGCCATCCCTACCACCACCACCTCCACTCCATCACTACCACTACTACCACATGATTACTACATAACACTTTTAACATAATGTTTATTTTAGTCATTATTCACAGTTACAACAATTTTATATTAAAACTTACCAAACGGTTTTGACACTGCTTTTTGTACTAACAACACTTTAAAAATATTGTTTACCAAACACGGAGCTGCTTTACTTTACAGCTAATTATTTTCAAAGCACAGCAGAAGCAACTTTTTTTAAAAGTTACAGCAATCCCAAACTGGGCCTAACTCGTTTTACGGAATAAGCCAAACGATATTCTTTTACTTGTCTTTGGAGATAGCTGACAAGAGAAAACGTGTGGTCGCCACTACACAGTTTTGCAACTCTCTCTCTCTCTCTCTGACTGTTAGCTTTGCTTTTGTTGCTGGTTTTTTGGCTGATCTTGAGAAGTTGTGTTTATTGTGAGTTTCTGGTTGGTTTGCTCTGTAATTTTTAGTTCAGGTAACGTTGACTAAAGCATATGCAATTTTTAGTTCACTTGTGTAGTCATGAGGCTTATATTTTTGTTTTAAATGTTGAAATTCGTATTTTTGTTCCTTCTAATGTTTCTCTCTGTTGAATTCCTCTGTTTCCTCAACCTGTATAATATGATTTCCTTTTCTTTGCTTGTCTGACTTTTTGTTTCCTTTTCTTTGCTCTGAAACTTGTTCCCTCAACTCCTTATTTTTCCTCTGGCTTACTAAATTTTCATTTACCCAAAAAAAACCTCTCTAAATTTTAATCCTTTACTTTATGCAAGCCATTTATCATCATCTTCTATTTATTTAATTAGCAAAAGGCTTATTTTCATTGAGTGTTTACAGCAGCAGCAGATTGCCAAATGGCATTGAGCACCCAAAGAGACTCTGCCTTTCTTCCTTCACCTCATCAGTCTGCTCCTCAACCGAACCACGATGTGTTTTTGAGTTTCAGGGGTGAGGACACTCGAAATAGCTTTGTATCCCATTTATACCACGAATTGCAGCTCAGGGGCATTAAAACATTCAAGGATGATCGTGAGCTTGAAATAGGGACACCTATTTCTTCAGAGCTCATCAAAGCAATCGAAGAATCAACGCTTGCAATCGTTGTTCTCTCGCCAAATTATGCATCTTCTTCCTGGTGCTTGGATGAGCTTACAAAGATTCTCCAATGCATGAAATCCAAGGGCACAATTCTGCCAGTGTTTTATCATGTGGATCCCTCCCATGTGAGAAAACAAAGCGGCAGTTTTGCCGACGCCTTCGCTGAGCATGAGAAAAGGTTTAGGGAAGACATCGATAAGGTGAAGCGCTGGAGAGATGCTTTAACAGAAGTAGCCAATTTATCTGGGATAGATTCGAAGAATGAGTAAGCATGAATGAACAACTTCTCTATATGTCTTAACAAAACCCATGGCTTATATTTTAGACTTCATGATCCTTTTACTTTTCCTCCTTGTAGGTGTGAAAGAAAGCTTATTGAAAATATTGTTGAACGGGTGTGGATGAAAGTACATCGCAGATTCAAATTGTTAGATTCCAGAGAGTTGGTGGGAATGAAGTTTATACGTGAGCAAGTAGATTTGCTTTTAGCTCATCCTACAGATTATGTTCGCTTTATGGGGATATGGGGGATGGGCGGAATTGGCAAAACAACCATTGCTCAGCTAGTTTATGATAGCATTTCTACCCATTTTGAATCTAGCAGCTTTCTTGCTAATGTTAGAGAGGTTTCTCAACGTGGTCGTCTTGTTGATCTACAAAGACAACTTCTTTTCCCAATCTTAAAGGATCAAATTACTGAAGTTTGGGATGAACAGTGGGGAACCTCTGTCATTAAGAATTGCTTGTATAATAAAAAGGTTCTTCTCATTCTTGATGATGTGAGTGAATCAAGCCAACTTGAAAAGTTGGCTGGTGAAAAGGATTGGTTTGGTAAGGGGAGTATAATCATTATTACAACTAGAGATAAACGGTTGCTAGTTAAACATGATATATCATATAAGGTAGAGGCGTTAGGTCATTATGATGCTCTTGAGCTCTTTAGTCGGAATGCCTTTGAAAAAAACGAGCCTGAGGAAGGTTTCTTGGAATTGTCCAAGGGTTTTGTAAATTATGCCAGAGGCCTTCCACTAGCTCTTAAACTTTTGGGATGCTTAATGTATAAGAGAGATGAAGATGAATGGGAAAGTGAATTGGATAAGCTGCGGAAAATTCCTAAGTCAGAAATTATTGATTTGCTCAAAATAAGTTATGATGGACTAGATGAGATGAACAAGGATATATTTCTTGATGTTGCATTTTTCCATAAGGGGAAGGACAAGCTGCAAGTAATTGAAATACTAGACAGTTGTGGCCTATGTGGTCATATTGGGATAAATGCTCTCGTTCAGAAATCACTTTTAAATTTTGATATTTCAAACGACCGTGTTGAGATGCATGATTTGATACAGGAAATGGCATTGGAAATTGTTCGTCAAGAGTGTCCTGAAGAGCCTGGTAGACGAAGTCGATTGTGCAATCATGATGATATCTCTCATGTATTCATAAACAATACGGTAAGAATTTATATAAAAGATACTAAGTTTTGGAATATTTATGAATTGTTTTTAACACAGTATTAGACTTAATAAATGATATCTTTGATGTTTTCATAAACAATAGGGTTAACTGTTGATTTGCCCTCCGAACTTGTACCTAACTTTCGATTTACTCCCAATCCTTTTTTTTTTTTAATAAAGAAAATTGAGGATATCAATTATTATTTTTAGCCAATTTTCCCCCTGCCTTTAATTTTCCTCACATTCCATCCAATTTACCTTTAAAAATATCGTGTGCCAAGCATGTGAGATTATTTAAGGGCTATTTGGTTATTTTTGCACCTTAACAATAACTAAAATTTTGAGAAAAAAATAAATAATTATAATAATTAAAAACCCTTCAGCCACCTCTCTCCCCTTTCCCCACTACTGTTAGAGCACTTCCACCAGTTAGCCCCTTGCCATGGCAAGGGGAGCCCCAGGGCGGGGACTATTCACTTGAATAGCGGGGGGT